TGAACTGTAATCATTTGTAAGAGGAAAACGTACCAAAATAATTCCAGTTTCACCAGTTGATTTTTTCTGTGATGTTGGCCTATCTGGTGTATGGCTTTACTAAAAATTCATGATTTTTCTTAGACAAACAATAGACTTACATTTGCACTTTTGTTTTTTTAGAGGGTAGCCTTACAGTTAAAGGGCTTGTTCAGCAAAAGCAGTGATTCATTGGTATTTATGCAAGGAATGGAGTAGACCCCAACCTCTGGAGCCTGCTGCAACTTAATCTGGCCATATACTGAGAAATATTTGACCAGTTCTTGATGAACCTGCAGAAATTTGAGCCATGAGTGAGTGGCCTTGTCAGTACCCTCCCACCCTACATCCCTAATTTGCAAGGCTGGAAAATTGTTGGCCGAATAGCAGTTGCATCCAGTCAGATTCAGCCACTGTTTTGGATGTCAACAGTCAAAATACAATAGGGAGGGAATGAGGGAATCAATAGATTTCTCTTGTTCGGCCCCTGAGCTAAACAAAAGAAATCTTACGGTGTATGACCAGCTTTAGTGACATATAATTCAACGAATTGTGCAGGATGGATCAAAATGATCACACTTTTTAATGTGCACCTGAACTAAAATAAGTCAAGATTTGATATCTTATTGGGAACATCTAGGATAGGTAATTGTCCCCTCTCATAGCTGTATATCTGCAATGTTCAATCATCTACGGCATTGCTGTCAAATCTGCAGTGAAATTTGGTGATGTCACTACTGTTTTAGTCACTGTTCTCCTTGCTGGAAAGGAAACTGTACCTGAATAACTGCAGTGCAAGGCTCACCCTGCACCTAATTCATTCATTCTGTGAATCAGTGCTTCCACCACCTCTTTTGACGCTTCTTTATCATTAACTCTGACGTGGGAAATTAAAGTCCTGCAGCAGGTTGACCTCTATATAGATACACAATGAGGAACAAGGCATGGTAATAAATGGAAAAAAAAATCCAGCGTCCAAGAGAACAAAGGCACTTCTGACTACCTGCCTTTTAGGGCACTGCTTCCAAAGTTGTATAAAATGTAATCAGCGATCACATTTCTGCTTCTAAAAGCACAAGGTTATCCTAACATAAAGTAAGAAAGAAGTGAAAAAATTATTTTATCTGGGACTAGACGGGAAATAGGAAAGTCTCCATTATGTTCAGTTTCATTAATCACCTGAAACCTTTTTATCTGCACCTGTAAAGTGTTGTTAATAACTCTTATGGAAGCCATTTAAAGTTTATTGGCCTTTAAGTAATAGACAACCAAATATAAACAATTATGAAGTACACCAGTCACTTCTGCAAACCCAATAAACTGAGAACATTAATGAAGTGCCGGCATCTAGAGGTGTCTTCACAAATCGTTAATTATCTAAAGTACCTTGGAAATTACATATCCTGGGGGAGTACTAGTATGCAAATATCACTACCTTCCTGGAGTGTCAAGACCAACATACCCCTCCCCAACACCTCACATTCCTATTGGTCAGTAAGGGCTCTGATGATGAGGCTTCTGCACTTGAAATGCATAAACATCACTCCTAGCCAGGGGCTGACTGACAACTCATGGGGCCCCCGGGCAATAGGGGATCATGGGGCCCCTGTGTCCTTGCCCAAACTCAAAAAAGCCTATAAAAAAGGTACCAGGGGCATCTCATGGGGCCCTCTACTGACCCCGGGCCCTCGAGCAGTGCCCGAGTTTCCAAATGGTCAGTCTGCCCCTTCTCCTAGCTTTTGTGCATTGCTACATTGCTTTGGACATTGGATTTATTGATGTGCCTGTCTATACTTACTTTTGGGAGTATATTGGAATTCTTTCTATTTTACAATGATTTGGCTTTTGGTAATGGACAAGGCTGGGGCACCTTCTCTTTATTTCTGTTCTGGCCAGGAAGGCTTCCTGTCATGGTAATAGTATGGTTAAAAGGTTATTGAAATGTAAAGCATTACCTTTGACTGCTTTAGTTTTCATAAGACACACATGTACTTTAAGGGCCTGTTCATGCCATCACACACCTGTTATGCTCCCTACAATGAATGCCTGCTGGTGTGTGTTGTGTGGGAGTGGTGTGATGTGTTGTAACAACACTTTGCATTGTTTCCTTTTTTTACTTTATTGACAAGCCACAAATGTTATTTAATTCAACTCTATGTATCCTAGACTGTTGCTATTGTAGCTCATTGCAACATGCTGCATAAAATGCAACCAGTCCTACTTTTTTTCACCACACATCAATATAACGCATAAGGCAAAATTTCTTATCTTTGTGTTGGGACTGCATTGGGAACACTGCCCAATTGGATGGTGCGGATGAGCCCTAATGCTGAACCCTGGGGCTGGGAAAAGGGGGGGTGAGAAGGCACCTGCCTGCTGCACTGTGTTGAAGGAGGCACTGCCAAGTTGGCCTCTTGTCCTGCTTCTTACTGACAGAAGTGACTGCAGTGTCGCTCCTGTCATAAGAGAAGCGGCTGATAGCTGCTTCTGGAGGGAGGATTTGGCTTTCTGCTCCCTCCAGCCTGCATTGGGTAGAAAAGAGCCTGCACTGAAACAGAGAACTGTGCTGCTGAGGAAGGCGGACATACTGTGTCCTTCTTCCTCTCTCCCCCTGTCATGTGGCATGTCATATGACTGGAGAGAGGAAGGAGATGCTTCATTCCAGTGAGTACTGATCTGCCAGTACAATGGAAGTATGGGGACACCTGATGTGAAAGGGAACTGTATTGGGGACACCTGATGTAAAAGGGGACTGTATTGGGAACACCTGATGTAAAGAGGGGCTCTACTGGGGACATCTGATGTAAAGGGGGACTCTATTGTGGACACCTGATGTAAATGGGGACTGTATTGGATACACCTGATGTAGAGGGGGACTGTATTGCGCACACCAGATGTAAAGGGGGACTATACTGGGGTCACCTGATGTAAAGGTGGACTGTGTTGGGGACACCTGATGTAAAGGCGGACTCTATTATGGACAACTAATGTAAAGGAGGACTCTGTTGAGGACACCTGATGTAAAGGGGGACTGTATTGGGGACACCTGATGTAAAGGGGGACTCTATTAGGGATGATGTAAATGGGGACTGTATTGGGTACACCTAATGTAAAGGAGGACTCTATTGGGGACAGCTGATGTAAAGGGGGACTTTACTGGGGACACCTGATGTAAAGGGGGACCTTATTGGGGTCACCAGATGTAAAGGGGGACAGTGTTGGGGACACCTGATGTAAAGGCGGACTCTATGATGGACAACTAATGTAAAGGAGGACTCTATTGAGGACAGCTGATGTAAAAGGGGACTTTACTGGGGACACCTGATGTAAAGTGGGACTGTATTGGGGACACCTGATGTAAAGGGGGACTCTATTAGGGATGATGTAAATGGGGACTGTATTGGGTACACCTAATGTAAAGGAGGACTCTATTGGGGACAGCTGATGTAAAGGGGGACTTTACTGGAGACACCTGATGTAAAGGGGGACTGTATTGGGGGCACCTGATGTAAAGGGGGACTCTGTTGGGAACACCAGATGTAAAGGGGGACTCTACTGGACGGGGGCACAATTTGTCATCTTCACCCTGGGTGCTGGATGATGTTGTCCCAGCACCACTGAACCCAATATGAACAGCTGAATTTACACTTCAATATATGTAGGGAAACAGTTTTACCTCCCACAGAAATTGTATTTTTGGTCAGGAACTTTTGGGATCCCAGCACCTCTTCCAGACAACACAAGATCTTCATCCTCTTTTGCAACACAAATCACATTCTAGCTTGTTTATTGGCCAGTAAAGGGGCAGCAGAAGACTGACAGGCTCATCCCTCTGCTCATTGTGTTTTTAAATCTTGTCCGTCTGTTTCTTGTCAGCACAGGTGTCTAACACTAGCAACATATTAAAACACATTTAATTACTCTTTGTTTTTCTCTTATTTATTTCAGCCTATTTCAACTCTGCTGCTTTGACATCCAGCTTTGAGCAGCATTGTGTGCGAATCTCCCAGTAAGCATCATACTTTACCCACACTGCCATCTAGCGGGACCAAACGCACACTACAGTCACTCTGTGCAGTAAATCTCTTTGTCTTCATGATTGCTTTTTTGTGTTCTACCAAGCGTACAAACTAAAGCTGTTATTTTTGTTAATGCAGGGAGAACAGCCGCAGGCAGGCTTCTGTTGTTGCTTAGAACACTGTTTCCTTTTTGGAATTAAGAAAAAAAAAAGGAAAAAAAAAAACGTATTGCTGTTTGGTGAAGAAAAGACTGGAGCGCACACAATGGCGAGGGCACAAAGGGATTCTGTTTATGCTCCGCTCCCCGGCATGTAATGATTTCTTACTTATTTACAGCACAGGAATAATAGAGGGCTGAGCGCAGGCTGGGCTCTGAAAGTGCCATTTGAAAAAAAAAATGCAAGCTTGTATTACAAGGCGTGCTTTGCAAAATGACAGTCTTACCCGGCACAAGGCGGAATGACACTGCCATTGTGGATACACTGGAACTTTGTGACCTGACGAACCGGTGGCACAAAAGAACAGCGCCATCGCTGTGTGGCAAGTAGAGATGGAGGAAATCCCAGAGGAAAAGGGATGAATTGTTAGCGATAATGGCTCTTTTCAGTCCAGCAGACGTTCTGTTACGTGTGTGGTGGTAGACTGAGCTCTAGGACAGATTGTCCTAATCCAGATTAGTCATTTTTAAACCCATGAAAAATGTTAGAGTATAGTTGGCCATCTACAGCCATCAGAATCTTGCAAGTTTAAATTCTAAAAATTCATTCTTGTTTAAAGTAGAACCATAGCCTTCCATTAAAAAGAAAAAAAAATACAGTATGTGCTGCATTACTTATATTTATTACAGGTTCTTATAGAGCACCATCAATTTATGCAGCACTTTACCAGGGGCAGACTGACCATTTGGAAACTGCCCGAGGGCCCGGGGCGTCAGTAGGGGGCCCCATGAGATGCCTCTGGTACCTTTTTCATAGGCTTTTTTGAGTTTGGGCAAGGACACAGGGGACCCATGATCCCCTATTGCCCGGGGGCCCCATGAGTTGGCCCCTGCACTTTACATATATATATATATATATATATATATATATATATATATATATATATTGTACATTCACATCAGTCCCTAACCCTCAATAGGCGTACAATCTAAAGTCCCCTAACGTACTTTCATATACTAAGGCCAATTTAGACAGGATCCAATTAACCTACTAGCATGTCTTTGGAGTGTAGGAGGAAACTGGAGTACTAGAGGAAACCTACGCAGGCACAGAGAGAAAATGAAAACTCCAGGCAGGTGGTGCTGTGGTTGGGATTTGAACCAGCAACCCACATACTGCAAGGTGGAAGTGCTAACCATATAGCCACTGTGCTGCCCATAAGTACATTATTATTATTATTATTATAATACAGGATTTATATAGTGCCAACAGTTTGCTCAGCGCTTTACAATATAAAGGAAGACAATACAGCAACAATACAGTTCAATACAAGAGGGATAGGAGGGCCCTGCTCCTTGGAGCTTACAATCCAAGAGGGAGAGGCTAGTGGTACAAAAGCTAATAACTGTGGAGAATGGACTGGTAGGAGGAATAGAAGATTAAGTTATTAGCTGAAGGCAGGATAGGCTTTCCTGAAGAGATAGGTTTTCAGAGATCACCTAAAAGTGAGCAGAGTTGGCAATAGTTGGATAGATTGAGGTAGAGAGTTCCAGAGGATGGGGGAGGCTCTGGAGAAGTCCTGGAGACGAGCATGGGAGGTGGAGACAAGGGAGCTAGAGAGCAGGAGGTCATGGGAGGAGCGGAGAGGACAGTTTGGGTGATATTTAGAGACAAGATCGGTGATGTAATTTGGGGCACAGTTATAAATGGATTTATATGTTGATGTTAATGTTTTGAGTTTTATTAGTTGGGCAATGGGAAGCCAGTGGAGGGATTGGCAGAGAGGGGTGGCAGATATGGAACGGTTGGTAAGGTGGGTAAGTCTGGCAGCAGCATTCATGATAGACTAAGAGGGGATAGCCTGTGATGAGGTAGGCCAATGAGAAGGGAGTTACAATAGTCAAGGCGAGAGATAACAAGTAAGTACATCTGCACTTACAGTTTTCTCTTAGTCAGAGGCATCCCTAGGGTTGGTGTCACCCGGTGCGGTAACACTTGGTGAAACCCCCTCCGACGATCCCTGCAGAATGGATCGGATCTGTGGATTGAGCATAATGGATCGGACTCTGATCCATTATGCTCAATCCGCAGATCCGATCCATCCTGCGGGGATCGTTGGCTTTCTTTACAACTTACCTTTTCCTGGAGCGGGTCATCCCATATAGGTTGCATGCGGACGATACTGTGGGGTGACACCGGTGTATCGACAAGATGTGTCTCCCATGTAGATATGTCCCCCTGAAGCAACTGCGCATGTCCAGGTTTCATGCACAATCAATCGATGATAGCAGTAGTTCTATTTTCTATCATCAATTGATCGTGCCTGAAAACAGGACATGCGCAGTATGCGCATGTATGATCAACAGGTATTTTTCTACACTTGCTGGGTCTTTAAAGCATTGAAACGTGCTTCTCTTTAAAATTGTGCCCTATAGTACGTCTATGGTCATGGGCAAATATGGCATCAAATGTTGAGCTTATATCTCTTAGATTGAGTTTATGTCTCTTAACCGAATCTTCTATTCCTCCTATCAGTCCGTCCCCCACAGTTATTACCTTTTGTACCACCAGCTCCTCCCTCTTAGATTGTAAGCTCCGAGGAGTAGGGCCCTCCTAACCCTCTTGTATAGAACTGTATTGTTGCTGTATTGTCTCCCTTTATTTATTTATTATTACAGGTATTTATATAGCGCCATCAATTTACGCAGCACTTTACATATATATAGTACATTCACATCAGTCCCTAACCCTCAAGGGGTGTACAATCTAAGGTCCCTAACTTACAATCATACATACACATAGTTCTGATTTACTATCGCTGTTCTCTAGCCGGTCTAAAACCGCTTTTGACCTAAAGGTTGCTTTTTGGATGCCATGGACATTTCCCAGTTTCCAGGCAGAAAGAACAGTAAAAATGCAGGCAGGGCACAGGACAAAGCACTCGGGACAAAATGTATGTGAAATGGTTTGATACAGTAATGTTATACTATGTGATTTTAGTGAATGTCACTTTTAAAATTTTAAAATTTCCCAACAGTTCCGTCCCGACGTCACAGGGGATGGAACCCAGAAAACAGATGCTGGCATCCGCCGGATTCCATTACAGGGGACAATGCAGGAGGGACATCGCGGGAGCGCAGGACAAGGTAAGAGAAGAAGAGATCCCGGAGCAGCGCTGCAAGGTAAGCCCGAGTGTAGCTCGGGGTTACCGCTTGTGGTGCTGAAACTTTACCCCGAGCTACACTTGGGAATACCGCCAGGGAGGTTAATCAGAAATTATATTTTAATTAGTTAGCAGTCGCATGCCCCCAGGCACTTTAAGGTGAACTTATACTTTAAAGTTTTACTAAACCCCGGACCATATATGATCTCCCACAGTACACACAACATGGAAGTGCAATTATTTTAGTAAGTATAAACTGCTAAATACATTTTCTCATCAGCAGTTAGAGCAGTCTTGTGACTTCTATCAGTGTCCAGCACTGGCTAAAGCTTGTAGGTGGAGTTTTCATTCTCCCAATTGTCCTATGAGGCTGCATTAGCCCTGAACCTTTGTCTGGACAGTGCTTATTGGCCCTGTACGGATCACATGCACTCTCCCAGGAAAAGTAAAAAAACTCTAGCAATACACACTAAACTGAGCATGTGCAGCTCCCCAAGGATCTTTTCTATCAGCAGATGGATTGAGGGGAGAGTAGAAGAAGGGGAGGATTGGAGAAGACAGGATCAAACAGCCTTTTTACACAATGTGGAGGATTAACCCCTTAGGTTTCACAGTGAGTACAGCAAGCATGCTTTACTGCATATACAGACTGATTTTACTGTTGTGGATTTAGTAACACTTTAATTACCTTTACAGTTTATTTATTTCAGGTACTTATATAGCGCCATCAGTTTACACAGCACTTTACAAATATACAGTAGTACAGGAGCATACAATCTAAGGTCCCTACCTCACATTCATACATACACATACTAGGGCCAATTTAGACAGGAGGCAATTAACCTACCAGCATGTCTTTGGGGTGTGAGAGGAAACTGAAGTACCTGGAGCAGGTTTGGGCAAGGACACAGGGGCCCCATGATCCCCTATTGCCCGGGGGCCCCATGAGTTGTCAGTCCACCTCTGGTTGGGATCTGAACCAAGGACCCTAGTGCTGCCAGGCAAAAGTGCTAACTATTTAGCCACTGTGCTGCCCTAATGCAAAATTAGTTCACAAACCACACCAGCATAACAAATTTTCCACATCTGATTACTCAGCAATGGCAGCATGAACGCAAATAGCAGAGGTGATTTCTGTGCTCTACAACACCGATCTTTAATTACATATGAATTAATGTAGGGAAACTAAATTTAACATACTTGACATTTTGAGTTTTGTTTCTTTTCAATTAAACAAAAAAAAAAGAGAAAAGCACCTATTTGATTTCCAAGACATCCTGGCAGGATTAGAAATCCCCCTCCTCCTCCCTATGTGCTCTGGATGGTTTCCTGTCCTGCTGTGCTGGCTGAATGCTCTTCTTTCTAATATGTTCTGAAATTGTGCCATCTAGTGGACAGGATCTATAACACACACTGTGCAGCGCAGTCAGGATCTGGCAATGTGCCAGATTGCTCCCAAAGGTAACATAATGTGCAATCCTGTATTCCTTCAAGACACTGAAAATGGTGTTTGCTGAAATGATGCAAATTGTATTGTGCTTTGTTGGCTTTATTAGCCCACAGACGATTTTCTCTTCTCATCTTAGAGCAGTCAACCTTGAATGTAATTTTAACAATATACTTTATGTAAGTGCAAAATTAGGATCCGTGTATCTGTCTGTACGCACCTGTGTGGTATGAAAGTGGAAGTGAAGGACCTTCCACATAAACGATAACAACTTAAAATAAAAAATGGGTTCCAGGGTTTTTCACCCTGAGGTTGTCACAGAGGACAAGGGGGCACTCTTTACGTCTGGAGGAAAAGAAATGTAATCTCCAAACACGGGAAGGTTTCTTCACAGTAAGAGCTGTGAAAATGTGGAATAGACTCCCTCAAGAGTTGGTTCTGGCCAGCTCAGTGGATTGCTTTACAAAAGGCCTGGATTATTTCTTGGATACCCAGAATATAACTGGATACTAACATTTATAGGTAAAGCCAGGGGCGGACTGACAACTCATGGGGCCCCCGGGCAATAGGGGATCATGGGGCCCCTGTGTCCTTGCCCAAACTCAAAAAAGCCTATGAAAAAGGTACCGGGGCATCTCATAGGGCCCCCTACTGACCCCAGGCCCTCGGGCAGTTCCCAAGTTTCCAAATGGTCAGTCCGCCCCTGGGTAAAGCTGATCCAGGGAATATCCGATTGCCTCTCGGGGTTCAGGAAGGATTTTTTTTCCCTGCAGGAGCAAATTGGATCGTGCTTTGCTGGGGTTTTTTTTGCCTTCCTCTGGATCAACTGTGGGTGTAGGATTATAACTTTTTTTTTTCGGGTGAACTGGATGGACTTTTGCTTTTCAGCCAGACTAACTATGTAAAAATAATAAAGTCTGAGCTGTAGGTGGATGTTGATGGATTGACAGTTCTTAGCTTTACCACCACTGTCATGAAGTCTCACTCTTTATGCTGCAGATTGGTCTAACGTACTTAGAAAAACCTGCCTATAGCACATTGCAAATTCGTCTGTACAGCAATGACTTATTATGAATAAAAATGTCACTACATGTCAGGTAAACTTTGCTGAAGATGCAAAGTGAAGCATTGCGACCACGGCATGTAAACACCCCCGTCCACTTCCTATTACAGCTTAAGTGGGGGCAGTTGGCAGGCAGCAAAAAATGTGGCTCAACCATATGTCTAAACAAAGCTTAAGTTTAGGTATGGCACTTTTTATATAGTTTTGTTGGACCTATGTAAGTATGTATGTGTCATACCTGTGAGATCCCCATGGAAGCTGGAAATCACTAAAGTAGACACTACTACTCTGGTGATCTCTGCTAGATTCTGGGCCCTTTTCCAAGTGGCTATCTTACTGCATTGTGAACACAGGAGGTTGCATGCTTGGCACAGATGCCATTGAAGGAACACTTTGAATATAATAATAATAAGAATTTCCTCAATGAATGCAAAGAATACTCTGATTGGATGAGGTGGAGAGGCAGGGCGGTGACATCATAATCTTCACCTCGTCCAGTCAGAGAATATTTTGCATTCATTAATAAAATGCAAAGTGTTCCCTGAATGATACCTCTGTCAAGTAGCAATGCCTACAACAGTGACTTCTGGCTTCCACAGGGATCACGCAGATATGGCACATACAGCTTGGGCTCACTCTGATGATGCGGTGCGAAATTTGCACCGGTTTCTGTGCGATTTACGCACCACATCAGAATCGCAGCCCGTTCACATGAACCATTGCAGGTGTGTATGTTAAGTTAACAACATCCCGAAATCAGTTTGCAAAACGCGTTGAGATGTGCAGAATCGGATCACATAGGTGTGAATATCCATGTGACCCTTTTCTAGTCCGGACCAAAAAAACGGGTCCTGCACCTTTTTGGTGCAAATGTGGTGCAATTTGAGCCATACAAAATGTATGGCTCAAAACACACCGCACACAAATCGCATGTGATTTGCACAGGAATGCGGTGCGGTTCCTGTGAGAATCACATGCGGTATGCTGCACCACACAAGTGTGAATCCAGGCACATACTCACATTGGTCCAAGCTGGATCTATGTATCTATGTATAAGTTGTCATACCTAATCTTCAGCTTTAATAGTGAATCTTGAGTTGATGATCAGAACTCCTGTCAGTAGCTATTGCAGGTATATGGAGCTTGAACGTGGCATTCAGAAGTCCTGCTGTCTTAGCCACATATAGATATAACAGGTCAAAAGGTAAAAACAGAAAGAACAACTACTGATTTTTCGATGTGACAATGTCATCTACAGGAGTACACAGATCCTTACTATGTCTCTACCACAATCTATCCATCTATATCCGTCTATCGTCTACTCTGCCCACGTTTAGGCGATCTCTGAAAACCTATCTCTTCAGGGAATCCTATCCCACCTTCAGCAAATAACCAAATCTTCTATGCCTCCTACCAGTCCATCCCCCACAGTTATTACCTTTTGTACCACCAGATCCTCCCTCTTAGATTGTAAGCTCCAAGGAGCAGGGCCCTCCTAACCCTCTTGTATTGAACTGTATTGTTGCTGTATTGTCTCCCTTTATATTGTAAAGTGCTGAGCAAACTGTTGGTGCTATATAAATCCTGTATAATAATATTAATATTTTTTAGGGCCTGTCCTATAGCTCTACTAGAAAATGTATACATGTGTCAAAGATACCCATTATTTCTATACTTCTCTTTCATGTTTATGCATTTCCAAGGAGCAATTCAAACAGCATCTCCCGTTGTAATGCGGACCCCATTTCCTATATTTGTCTGCCAGACGAATATTATACTGAGAACCATCTGCTGGTGAAATCTGGTATTACAAATGAGGTGGATTTACTAAAGACAGACTGTGTACTTTGAAAGTGCAGTTGCTCCAGAGCTTAGTAAATGAGGGAAAGCTCAGCTGACTTCCATCACCCAATCATATACAAGCAAAAATGCAGCTTTTTTTTTTCCTTGCATGCGATTGGGAATTCTTTGCAAAGTGAAGTGTCCCCTCATTTACTAAGCTCTGGAGTAACTGCACTGGTAAAGTGCACATTCTGTTTGCCTTTAGTAAATCCACCCCAATGCATCCATCCATAGTGACAACCACTATAGTAATTGTTGGATTGCTGACCTTGGAATTGTGTCATGGGATATCTCTCTGCTAGACTGATTTGTGAAAAGTGGAGCAAAGGAATTGGGACAGCAGACGGGTTACACATTCAAGTGAGACAACTAAGCTGATTGATTGTCAATCAAAACAGCTCTCTTTCATAAATCAAACCATGTGTGTTATTATTTGTCTATCACTATCTATCTATCTATCTATCTATCTCTATCTATCTATCTATCTATCTTTATCTATCTATCTATCTATCTATCTATCTATCTATCTATCTATCTATCTATCTTTATCTATCTATCTATCTATCTATCTATCTATCTATCTATCTATCTATCTATCTATCTATCTATCTATCTATCTATCTATCTATCTATCTATCTATCTATCTATCTATCTATCTATCTATCTATCTATCTATCTATCTATCTATCTATCTATCTAGTCCATATATTATTATTATTATGTAGTCAGTTCAAATATGCATTGCTTGAA